ACCTTATTTGCACACTTTCATGTCTCTTTCAGGTAAAGCAGAGGTTGGAGCGCGTTTTTGGAGGTGCCGGAGGGCATTGGTGAAGATTGCGGGATGATCGGGCGTAAAACGGATGAATTGAGAAAATCAAGTTTGGATTCGGAGTCAGAGGCCCACACGGGGCGTGTTGGGTTTGGCCTAGAAATCGAACACGGGGCGTGTTTGACCATTCCAGGCAGTTTGACTTCACTGAACACGACCCGTGTCCATTTAGCCTATTTGGACACGGGGCGTGTTGGTCAAGTTGAACACTTTTAAGCATCGTACTTTGGAGCTGGAATCGAGGATTGATGGCTATGTCGGGAATTGGTTCATTTTTTTGAGAGGGCTATGTCGGGAATTGGCAGTTTTTTCCATATTTCATGTCGGGAATTGGTTCATTTTGGGGGGCAACACAACATATCAGAGCATTTTTTGAGAGGGGATTTCGAAGGTTTTTGCAAGGGTTTGTCCGTTAATCATTTGGAAACATTAATTCTCGTTTTTGTAAGTTGTAATTACACTTAATTTCATCTTTTAGACTTGTGATCTTGTTCTAGCCATGTGTGGCTAGAACCCTAAGTTTCTCCAATTTCATGTTTTGACTTCTTGGTAGTGACTTCAATCATATGACATGATGTTTGTTCTTAATTTCTATCTAATGAAATTGATTTTGCTTCAATCGAATGTTTGATTCTAATTATGATTCTTACTGGCCATTTGAATTAGGGTTAGGTCATTCAAGTTATCTCTTTTACAAAATCCGTAATTGTTTTGTGAAATTGAACAAGTAACAAGCGTTAAATTGATCTCTATTGAATGGATTTAGTGTAAATCTTATTCATACACTTTTACACTCCCGAGCTTATGAGGAGTATTGGGTGTTGTTGGGAACATTCACATAAAGCTTCATGCAATCTTATAATCTAATTCTAAGAGCTTGTTTCGATTAGGTTAATAAGGTTAGGGTTAATCAAAGAGCTTGTTTTGGTTAATTAATGTGGTGAATGGGAAGTGTTAGAGCTTATTAACACTTTCAAGTACCAACTTAGATAGAACTGAACGAATATTGTGTCATCTTTGAGTCACATTGCTAAGTAGTCATACATGAAGTTGGAGTCCTTACAAAATCTGAATTTAATTCACTCATTTAGCTGACTGCGTGTGTTTTTAATTTGTTTATTTAGTCATTGCACTCTAAAACCCCCTTTTTTACTGTTGGTGACCATAGTACCTTGCGCAAAGAGGTATAGACTAATTATCCCATGTCTCTGTGGATCGACGCTACTTGCCTTGTACTACCTTTTAGTGCAATATAGGAGTGTACTTGGAGTCATTTATACTCCTTTATAAACCCAACAAATAAAGGGGTACAAATGACTCCAAGTACACTACTATATTGCACTAAAAGGTAGTACAATGCAAGTAGGGTCGATCCACAGAGACACGAGATAATTAGAGTAAATCAACACGGGTCGTGTTGACTGAAAACATAGCCATCAATCCTCGATTCCAGCTCCAAAGTACGATGCTTAAAAGTGTTCGTCTTGACCAACACGCCCCGTGTCCAAATAGGCTAAATGAACACGGGTCGTGTTCAGTGAAGTCAAAATGCCTGGAATGGTCAAACACGCCCCGTGTGGCCCTCTGACTCCGAATCCAAACTTGATTTTCTCAATTCATCCGTTTTACGCCCGATCATCCCGCAATCTTCACCAATGCCCTCCGGCACCTCCAAAAACGCGCTCCAACCTCCGGTTTACCTGAAAGAGACATGAAAGTGTGCAAATAAGGTCGTTCTAGAGACTAACATGAATATGATAATAATGCAAGAACAATGAAATATAACTAAGCTAAATACATGCATAAAAGGGACTAAAAGTTGTGCAAAAAGGTGCACAAAATACACCTAACACACAACGGTTTTGGCCGTCTTCTACCTGAGAAGGCACAAGCTTCCTAACCCCTGAATGCGATGGTGTTCGAGACATCGGAGGAAGAGATGTTGAATTGCAGATTGTGGTTCCAAAGAGGGCTACTTATAGGAGGAGAGGAATACATACGAAGTTACAAATCTACGTATTATGACGACCAATATGATGACGTAAGACGTTGCTTCTGACCTCTTTCCTATGGAAAACGCGTATTGCTACAATTTAGAAAAAATGTATTACCAAAAAAGTCAATGAATATATTAAAAAGAGAAAAAAAAATGCTAAATGTTTTTGAATGCTTAGATAAAAGTCTACCTATTCTAATAAATGAAACATAAAAATGCCACATGTCTATTTTTTAGTATTCCCTTTTGACATGTGGCAATTTTCTATGTTTTTCTACCATTTTCTCTTTTTTTGGTAACAAATCAATTTCAATTAAAATTTTGAAAATACAAAATCTTATTCATAATAATATTTTTGATATTTATATTAAAATATTAAGTTTATTTTACGTAACAAATTTATTCAGAATTATTTATAATCAATAATACCCTGAAATTTTTTTGTCATTTATTATATTTTTATCTATTTATTTATATAATAATTTTAAATAAGTTACCGTGGTTTCCACGGGTTATAACCTAGTCTATATAATAAAAGTATGAAACGATGTATAATTCTTAGCTTATTTCCTCACCCTTCCAACTTCTTTCCACTTTCGGTCCTTCCAACTCGCAAAAGCAACAATCTTTTTTTTTTTTTTTCTGTCAAGTCCCTACAATAAAAGACTATACATCAACTATTAATTTCTACTTCACTTCAAATACAAGATTGAAATTTGATTATTATCTTCAATAGCTTGGAAAACTATTCGGATTAGCCAATAGATGTAATATAACTAGAGAGTGTGCCCTCACATTGCTATGGATCGGGAAAATTTTATTGTTTTTTTTATTGTTTCGGATTTCACAGTTCATGTTTGTTAATGGGATAGTTTTTTAGAATATACATGTGGGACCAAAGTTTAACATAATATAGAAACTATGATGGTTAGTTGTTGAAACACGAAAATTAATATTAGAGAAGGGACCAAAAATGTCAAGTTGTAGAAAATATTGTGGCTTATTGTAATTAATATTATAGAATTGATCAAAACTGCCAAGTTGTAGAAAGTAGTGTAACCGTCTTTAGAAGGGGCAATTACTAATCTAGCATAATTAAGGAAGTAATTAACTATTTTTAGTCAAAAATTAGAAATTATCCCAAAATAGCCCAACAAACCGTAGGTAATTAGAATGAACTATTGTTTCGCCAAATGATCTACTGTTTCGTGATTAAAAAAAATCATTTTGAACTTGTAAAACCGTAGGCTTTTTGGAAACCTACGGTTTCCTCTTAACCACCAAAAAACCTATAATTTCGTTATTTTTTTTAAGTATTTTGAAAAAAATCATGAAATCATAACATATATATGATGGCTTACGAGGTTACAACAAATTTAAAAAAAAAATGAAAAAAATAATAATAAAACCGTAGGCTTGATATGAAACCTACGGTGTACAAGTCCACACTGCACAATCTGTGCATTGTGCCCTTGCACACCGTAGTTTTCGTATGAAACCTACAGTTTTAATATTTTCTTCTTTTTTTTTTAAAATTTATTCTCATATACAAAAACTACTCCTAATAAAAAATACGGTAAAATTTTGATAAAAAATGGACACACCTCGTTGTTCTTCGGGTGCTCAATTGAGAGAAAAAAGTAGGTAAAACCAAAAAAACAATAGTCAAAATAACCTAATCTGAAAAATTATACATTATATACTACGGGCCAATGGGCCGCGAAAGAGTAGACAAGCCGGAAAACAGTAGTCCATTGCCACGAAAGAGTAGTTTTCTACCGTTGACTGTAGTCAACCCTGGTTAATCTACTATTTCGTGGGCTACTTTTGGCTAATGTGTTTTTTTGGCTATTTTTGGATAGGTAATTAGTGTTTTAGGTTAGATTAGTAATTTCCCCTTTTTAGAATATACACGAGGGACCAAAAGTTAACATAATATAGAAACTATGGTGGTTAGATGTTTAAAAACGAAAATTAATATTAGAGAAGGGGCCAAAATTGTCAAGTTCTAGAAAATATTGTGGCTTATTGTAATTAATATTCAAGAATGGATCAAACCTGCCAAGTTGTAGAAAGTAGTGTAGCCAAATGGTGTAACATTAAAAAATAAGGGACCAAAATTATTACATCACAAATAATTGTGGCCAAATTTAAAAGGGACAAAACTTTACTATTCCTAAGTCCTCTCAGTTTTAATTATATACTAGAAAAGGGCACGCGGCTCTGCCGCTTTTGGACTATGTCATAGAAGTTAAAATCGGCAAATTTTAAAAGATGTGTTGAAAGTGTAAATCGCCACAAATATGGGAGAAAGCCAACAACCCTTAAAATTAGATGTCGAAAATTTACAACAACAAAAAAAAGAACACCGATGGAGAAAAACCAAAAATGTTGTGGCTATAGTGTGAAAGTTGTCAAAATTTGGAAAATATTGTGGCAAAATTCTAAAGAATGTTTTTTTCGTATTTTTTATATCAAAATATAAAAGTTTTGACTCCAAGGACAAAAAGTATCAAACTCATTAAAGATTTGTAGCAAAAACACCAAAATATAAAAGTTTTGTCTGCAAGAACTAAAAATGTCAAAGTCACTAAAGATTTGTAGCAAAATCTTAAAGGCAAAAAAACTTAATTAAAACGCAAAAATGTAAAAGTTTTGACTTTAGGGACTAAATGTGTCAAATTCATTAAATATTTGTGGCAAAAACCTAAAGACAAAAAATTTATTGTAGAGTTTCTTCAATTGATTAATCGCTTTCTTCTCAACAGTGGAGTTCAATCTTACTGCAGTAACAATTAAGAGTTTCTTCAATTGATTAAGTATTGAAACTTAACTTGTTAATTGAATTAACAATGACTAATTTAATTTTACAAAAAACTATATATACAATTGATTTAACAAAAAACTTCACACATATACACTCTTACGTCGGCCAAAACTCAAGGCCACATACAATAAGGCCAGACAAAGTCCCTTCATAACAAATTAACTTCAAATTCACACGAAAACCATCATTTTTTATGAGTTCATGATTTAAGTTGAATTTCCAGACCTTAACCTCCATCCATCCATATGCTCTATGTTTTGGGGCTTGATTGGTATCATGTAAATTCCATGGGGTTGGGGATCTTAAATAAACAATCCCAACCTCTTTGTTGTTCCTGTGGAGTAGATCTCGTACCTTCACAGGACAATACAGCCCGTGGCATTTCTCTAAAAGTTTGAAGACAAGGTGACATGCATACTCTGTATCTTGTGATAACATTTGACTTTTAATGGTGCAATTGATATGAAATACTTGTTGTGGTAGAAGCTCAATCACCTCTGCAAATCTGCATATACATACATATATCATGTGATTGTACACTTATTAGATGAAGCTTTTTTCTTTTTTGGGGGTATTGTACTATTCAATACACAAGAAGTTATGAAATATGGTTTAGTTTGAGAAAGTATTGTTGGTGATTTTGATAACCAAAACATAAAACGCAGAAGCATAAACCTTGGATCTTTAATCTCGAATCTGATTAAAAGAAAACTTGAACATTAAAGAACGATTACATACCTGATTCATCATGATCTTCGGATCTAAAGAACTAGGGTTGGGTTTTCCAGTTGATCTCAAGAACCCTCTCTAAATCCCACAGCAAAACCCTAAAACGATTTTCTTGTATGTATTTTTTGTATATGGTAAATCTTCTTCTCATCACGTATTTATATAGATGGAGATATAACCGAATGTGAGAGACATTAGACATTTAGGAGATCTTGAGTCAAACCGGGAACTCAACCCACAAGATAAACATGGTAAGTGTATATCTTTATTTATTAATAAAATCGGTCCATCAACAATTTTATATAATTTCCATAATAATAGAAAATTAATGATAACATTATTTATATACATTTATTAGTGGTCCCAAAATATCCAACAATCTCCCACTGGACCACGAATGCATAAATGTATATATAACTGTATAAGCACTTTAATGATTGTTATCATAGTATTGGTACCCAACCCTTAAACAATCTCGTCCACTAATCATACAAGTATAGGATCAAAGCGGTCTTCGTTACAATTTACGTAACAAAACTTATCAATGGTCACATATACATATATAACTAACGACATAGATTAAACATGATGTGTGGTTTTAAAATCTAAATAGATTTCCGACGAGTTCCTCTTTAGATTGAAGTGATATCAAACTTCAAATAAGTGCAACTAATAATGGAGTTAACCGAATTCTTAATTCCGTACAGAAAAACATAATTGTTTTTAAACAAAACATAAAATCCATAAAACTCCCACTAAAACCAAATATCACACCATCGTGTGTAGTATGCTCATGAAAGACCTAGGGAGGTAATCCCTTTATGAGCGGATCCGCTTTCATGGAGTTTGTTCATATGTGCTATATACGTTTCCATTTTGCACTATTGTATTAACAGAAGGAAACTTGATGTCAATGTGCTTTGACTTAATAGAACTTCTGTTGTTGGAATATAACATTGTTGACTTATTATCACAACTTTAGTGGTCTTTCAATACCAATAATGTGTAGCCTCGTGACAAATTTTCGCAACCATATTCCATACTACAAATTATTCTACCATTATGGAAGAAGCTACCGAAGTCTATTCCATGTAATGGCTCATCATGCTAAAATGTAAAAATATCCCGATATGGATCGGTAACCATTTTGGCATCTAATAAAATCAGATTCTTAATAAAAATAATCTCCAAAATATATGATTTCCTATAGTTGAGCATATAGCCTTTTTGTTATATATAGATATCTCAAAATCCACTTGTTTGCTTTCTTATGATCCGAACTTGGGTTGTATAGATATCTGCCTAAAACCAAAAAAATAAATTTACTCCCACTTAATCTGTGATACACAAAATCATCTACTGTATTTACCTCAAAACCAAAAGAGATAATACATTGATGAAAAATGTGGTACCAAGCATAGGATATCCAAAGTTGAGGTTGTTGAGTTTGTGTATTCAGAATAGGAGATTGAATAACATTGTCGATCCATAATTCATAATATGCATACTATCAAAAGCAATAATAGGAATCAAGATTGATTCCTTCTTAAGGACAATGTTTTAATCTTGTTTCTCCCCCAAACTCAACATCCTCAAAGAATGTTGCTTTATCCAAAATGAAATGTCAATATCCATACAATTGAGAACTAACATAATGCCCTCATTGCATTCCTTAAAGTTAATCTCATTGAGTAAATGAATCATAAATGTGATTAATGTTAACAAATATAATACCATGATTCAAATTTGTGTTTTGAGAATATAGGCAAATCTATTTGTATGCTCATTAATCCATAAACCATATCAATAAATTCAATTTATGACATCTTTACAAGGTATCAACACAACATTAATATAAAGTCTTTGGACAGTAATACTAACTTGCAAGGGATATCCTTATTTTAGAGATAAATGTTGACAATAAATCATGTCAATTAACAAACCCCTCTTTGGATTGACTTATTAATCACATGGAACCAAAAAATCGTCACACGTTTATCACCACATATATGTTTATTCGGTCAAATATCAGTCTACCTTTGGGTCGGCTAATACTCGCATTAATAAACACATAAACTATAAATTTTGATAATAAGAATTAACAATATATCATGTCAACTAATAAGTCCCTCTTTGGATTGACTTATTAATGACATGTAACCTAAAAAATTATCGCATATTTATCATCAAACATGTATTTATCCGGCCAAATATTAACCTACCTTTGGGTCGATTAATATCCGCATTAATAAACACAAACCATAAAATTTAAGTTCTTTGTAAATCAATTTTCACAAGAATATATTGTGTCAATTAATATACTTTGAAAATAAACAAATATGTCATAAATATAGTTTATTGGCAACCTGAAATATTTTGAAACTCTGTTTGACCTTTTGGTCAACACATTTCATATAACCACTATAAGTTTTCATTAATTACTATGATTAATCAAATCTTTGCAAAATTTTGCCAATAAACATTAACCAATCACCACTCTATATAATAATATACATTTGTAAATAAACATTAACCAATCACCACTCTATATAATAATATACATTTGTATTGACCCAGGATCTAGAGCCAAATTGTTTTTATGTACATGCAAATAATGTTTATTAAATATCATGAGTGATAAACATTATTTTTCTGTCATGGACTTATGTTCGTAAATCCTTGAATGCCAAATTAATATAACCAAATTAGCGTTACACTCTTAACCGATTAGTTTTCGTAACCAAATTTAAACGCAATTAATAGATATTAGTTTCCAAAAATAGATTATAGAAAACCTTACATTATAAAAAATGTAAACAATTAAGTCACATAAAATAACACACATGCATCAAATAGGCTCTTTCATTAGGTGACAATTGATAGAAATTAAAGTAATAAACATTTAGCACTCGATGCCAACATCAAGGCAAGCAATCATGTGAAACTCATTTCAAAAGAAACATAAATTAAACAATATTATCTCATGCATTTACAGAAACATAATCGTAAATTTAATAAACATTGTTGTTTCTTTAATGAAAAATAAGTTACAATAAACATATATTATATTTAAATGATCACTTATTTTGTAAACAACTTAACACATATACATACACATAATATTATGAATTATTTAAAAAGATCACACCTTTAAATATTTACCTTTTTTTTATGAAATCAGAATTAATTTGAGTGGTTTCGTGAAATATAAAATAAACTTTATAGTATTATTTTATGAGTTTTAAATTTTAACCAAAAGCAAAATCTTTGAAACCATAAAAGCATTATATAGGTGCCATGTACATATCATATCCTTTATTCCCATAAGAAAATAAAATACATAAATAACCAAGGTAAAATATCAAAATAAAGTTGCTACCATGAATGTGACAAATCATGGTTTGTCTTCTTTAATAGTGTCATACGCTTAAGATACACAACAAAACATATTAATTAAAAAGAAAAGAAGGTATTTGGCCGTTCTAAAATAATTTTGGCCTCAATAACAATAAGAAACAGATCTGACTTTTCTTTCTCTTATCGCCGATCAAGAAAATTACCATAATGCAACCAAAATAAATAAATAACAACAAGAAACAGATCTGACTTTTCTTTCGCTCAACCTCGATCAACAAAAGCAAAAACAGGTATGATTATGTTCGAATATTACTTTTAGAGATCTTGAACCCAAAAAAAAAATAAAAATTCTAGTAATAGATTCGAGTAGGCTCTAATACCAATTGTTGGTGGTTTTGATAACCAAAACATAAAACACGGAAGCATAAACCTTGGATCTTTAATCTCGAATCTGATTAAAAGAAAACTTGAACATTAAAGAAAGATTACATACCTGATTCATCATGATCTTCGGATCTAAAGAACCAGGGTTGGGTTTTCCAGTTGATCTCAAGAACCCTCTCTAAATCCCACAGCAAAACCCTAAAACGATTTTCTTGTATGTATTTTTTGTATATGGTAAATCTGCTTCTCATCACGTATTTATATAGATTGAGATATAACCGAATGTGAGAGACATTAGGGATTTAAGAGATCCTGAGTCAAACCGGGAACTCAACCCACAAGATAAAAATGGTAAGTGTATATCTTTATTTATTAATAAAATCGGTCCATCAACAATTTTATATAATTTCCATAATAATATAAAATTAATGATAACATTATTTATATACATTTATTAGTGGTCCCAAAATATCCAACAATCTCCCACTGGACCACGAATGCATAAATGTATATATAACTGTATAAGCACTTTAATGATTGTTATCATAGTATTGGTACCCAACCCTTAAACAATCTCGTCCACTAATCATACAAGTATAGGATCAAAGCGGTCTTCGTTACAATTTACGTAACAAAACTTATCAATGGTCACATATACATATATAACTAACGACATAGATTAAACATGATGTGTGGTTTTAAAATCTAAATAGATTTCCGACGAGTTCCTCTTTAGATTGAAGTGATATCAAACTTCAAATAAGTGCAACTAATAATGGAGTTAACCGAATTCTTAATTCTGTACAGAAAAACATAATTGTTCTTAAACAAAACATAAAATCCCATAAAACTCCCACTAAAACCAAATATCACACCATCGTGTGTAGTATGCTCATGAAAGACCTAGGGAGGTAATCCCTTTATGAGCGGATCCGCTTTCATGGAGTTTGTTCATATGTGCTATATACGTTTCCATTTTGCACTATTGTATTAACAGAAGGAAACTTGATGTCAATGTGCTTTGACTTAATAGAACTTCTGTTGTTGGAATATAACATTGTTGACTTATTATCACAACTTTAGTGGTCTTTCAATACCAATAATGTGTAGCCTCGTGACAAATTTTCGCAACCATATTCCATACTACAAATTATTCTACCATTATGGAAGAAGCTACCGAAGTCTATTCCATGTAATGGCTCATCATGCTAAAATGTAAAAATATCCCGATATGGATCGGTAACCATTTTGGCATCTAATAAAATCAGATTCTTAATAAAAATAATCTCCAAAATATCTGATTTCCTATAGTTGAGCATATAGCCTTTTTGTTATATATAGATATCTCAAAATCCACTTGTTTGCTTTCTTATGATCCGAACTTGGGTTGTATAGATATCTGCCTAAAACCAAAAAAATAAATTTACTCCCACTTAATCTGTGATACACAAAATCATCTACTGTATTTACCTCAAAACCAAAAGAGATAATACATTGATGAAAAATGTGGTACCAAGCATAGGATATCCAAAGTTGAGGTTGTTGAGTTTGTGTATTCAGAATAGGAGATTGAATAACATTGTCGATCCATAATTCATAATATGCATACTATCAAAAGCAATAATAGGAATCAAGATTGATTCCTTCTTAAGGACAATGTTTTAATCTTGTTTCTCCCCCAAACTCAACATCCTCAAAGAATGTTGCTTTATCCAAAATGAAATGTCAATATCCATACAATTGAGAACTAACATAATGCCCTCATTGCATTCCTTAAAGTTAATCTCATTGAGTAAATGAATCATAAATGTGATTAATGTTAACAAATATAATACCATGATTCAAATTTGTGTTTTGAGAATATAGGCAAATCTATTTTTATGCTCATTAATCCATAAACCATATCAATAAATTCAATTTATGACATCTTTACAAGGTATCAACACAACATTAATATAAAGTCTTTGGACAGTAATACTAACTTGCAAGGGATATCCTTATTTTAGAGATAAATGTTGACAATAAATCATGTCAATTAACAAACCCCTCTTTGGATTGACTTATTAATCACATGGAACCAAAAAATGGTCACACGTTTATCACCACATATATGTTTATTCGGTCAAATATCAGTCCACCTTTGGGTCGGCTAATACTCGCATTAATAAACACATAAACTATAAATTTTGATAATAAGAATTAACAATATATCATGTCAACTAATAAGTCCCTCTTTGGATTGACTTATTAATGACATGTAACCTAAAAAATTGTCGCATATTTATCATCAAACATGTATTTATCCGGCCAAATATTAACCTACCTTTGGGTCGATTAATATCCGCATTAATAAACACAAACCATAAAATTTAAGTTCTTTGTAAATCAATTTTCACAAGAATATATTATGTCAATTAATATACTTTGAAAATAAACAAATATGTCATAAATATAGTTTATTGGCAACCTAAAATATTTTGAAACTCTGTTTGACCTTTTGGTCAACACATTTCATATAACCACTATAAGTTTTCATTAATTACTATGATTAATCAAATCTTTGCAAAATTTTGCCAATAAACATTAACCAATCACCACTCTATATAATAATATACATTTGTAAATAAACATTAACCAATCACCACTCTATATAATAATATACATTTGTATTGACCCAGGATCTAGAGCCAAATTGTTTTTATGTACATGCAAATAATGTTTATTAAATATCATGAGTGATAAACATTATTTTTCTGTTATGGACTTATGTTCGTAAATCCTTGAATGCCAAATTAATATAACCAAATTAGCGTTACACTCTTAGCCGATTAGTTTTCGTAACCAAATTTAAACGCAACTAATAGATATTAGTTTCCAAAAATAGATTATAGAAAACCTTACATTATAAAAAATGTAAACAATTAAGTCACATAAAATAACACACATGCATCAAATAGGCTCTTTCATTAGGTGACAATTGATAGAAATTAAAGTAATAAACATTTAGCACTCGATGCCAACATCAAGGCACGCAATCATGTGAAACTCATTTCAAAAGAAACATAAATTAAACAATATTATCTCATGCATTTACAGAAACATAATCGTAAATTTAATAAACATTGTTGTTTCTTTAATGAAAAATAAGTTACAAAAAATGTAATTAAACATATATTATATTTAAATGATCACTTATTTTGTAAACAACTTAACACATATACATACACATAATATTATGAATTATTTAAAAAGATTACACCTTTAAATATTTACCTTTTTTTTTATCAAATCAAAATTAATTTGAGTGGTTTCGTGAAATATAAAATAAACTTTATAGTATTATTTTATGAGTTTTAACTTTTAACCAAAAGCAAAATCTTTGAAACCATAAAAGCATTATATAGGTGCCATGTACATATCATATCCTTTATTCCCATAAAAAAATAAAATACATAAATAACCAAGGTAAAATATCAAAATAAAGTTGCTACCATGAATGTGACAAATCATGGTTTGTCTTCTTTAATAGTGTCAGACGCTTAAGATACACAACAAAACATATTAATTAAAAAGAAAAGAAGGTATTTGGCCGTTCTAAAATAATTTTGGCCTCAATAACAATAAGAAACAGATCTGACTTTTCTTTCTCTTATCGCCGATCAAGAAAATTACCATAATGCAACCAAAATAAATAAATAACAACAAGAAACAGATCTGACTTTTCTTTCGCTCAACCTCGATCAACAAAAGCAAAAACAGGTATGATTATGTTCGAATATTACTTTTAGAGATCTTGAAACCAAAAAAAAAATAAAAAAATTCTAGTAATAGATTCGAGTAGGCTCTAATATCAATTGTTGGTGGTTTTGATAACCAAAACATAAAACGCGGAAGCATAAACCTTGGATCTTTAATCTCGAATCTGATTAAAAGAAAACTTGAACATTAAAGAACGATTACATACCTGATTCATCATGATCTTCGGATCTAAAGAACTAGGGTTGGGTTTTCCAGTTGATCTCAAGAACCCTCTCTAAATCCCACAACAAAACCCTAAAACGATTTTCTTGTATGTATTTTTTGTATATGGTAAATCTGCTTCTCATCACGTATTTATATAGATGGAGATATAACCGAATGTGAGAGACATTAGGGATTTAAGAGATCTTGAGTCAAACCGGGAACTCAACCCACAAGATAAAAATGGTAAGTGTATATCTTTATTTATTAATAAAATCGGTCCATCAACAATTTTATATAATTTCCATAATAATATAAAATTAATGATAACATTATTTATATACATTTATTAGTGGTCCCAAAATATCCAACAAGTTTTAGATACATAGGGAATATACAAGGAAATCTTTCATGGTTATAATTAGTTCCAATAGCAAACCTGGTTTGAGTTGATGGTTTTGTTTTGAAAAGCTTCACATCAGAATAGTTGTAAACAGCCGCCTTTGCTGAAAGCATAAGATATTTCTTTCCGTTCACTTCATTGAGGGAAAACAACTGTTCATCATAGGTTCAGATAGAATTTATCATAAAACCACGAGGAGAATTTTCGTCCTACAGATAAATTTTGTTAGTAGTAAAAAAATGACCTTTTCACCATTTTCTCCATTTTCGGATCCCTTGTATATTTCTTCAGGATTCATTGGCAGTTGTTGCATGATGAGATCCATGTTTGAGTCTGATTTCAATACTTGTTGGACTTCCTTTATCTCATTGATTTCTTCATGTTTCACCTGTATAAAGATTATAAAAAAGAATGTGATAATGTTGCCCATGCAATGCATCCTTCTCTGTTCCAAAATATATAAACAAAGAATCTAGAATATATGGGAACCAAAGTGTAATTTCAAACTTGCATTTTCAATGGGTCGAAATTCAATGCCTTCAACATAAATGATACTATCTCGACAGTGGTATCGTGAAAAGCTCTCTAGGACAAACTTAAAATCCATATTTTCCTTGTTATTCAAGAATCTGCAGAGCTCAATCATCATCCAATCGTTGTCTCTCCATTTTGCAAAATATGCATGTGAGGTTTTTCTCCCATTTTTATACTTGAGGTTCACATACAAAGGTTTACTTGAAACTTTTCTTGGATCACAAAACTTGAAGACTAAATAAACCCCATAAATGACATCTGGAGATAAAAGTTGAGTTCTTGTCTTGATTTTGATCTTTAGATTTGAAATATCTAACATCTCTGCTAACCTGCACAAGTAAAATACCAATGTCTATATTAGTCAGAGCCTTCTTTCCCATGCAGACACACTTAAAACTTTTAAAAGTTAATATTTCTTTCCACTCAAAATAAATTGAATAACTCAAAATTTGCACTCGAATTTAAGCTCACATTTACTCTTTGTTGTATCAACAAACATTAAAGTTATTAATACAGCTGATTAATTATTTTCTTCAAAACAATTTCTCTATTTTGTTATAGATGAGTAATTTTGATATTTAAGTTGTCAAACCCCCATATTGGATTATATGTCTAGTTAGACAATGCACTAGTTATCGTGTGATATGTTTACTAATCTGGAATGGAAAATCAAGAACCGATGAGCCATAGTTGTTCTACTAGGAAGATGGAAAACTCTTTAAAAAAATCTTGGGGGATCATTATTTTGATGGTAATTAATATTGAAATAGAAAAACAACTTAATATAACATTTAAAAACGAGACATGTAAATACATCTACGTTTATGTTTTGCATGCATATATAAAAAGAAAGTCACACAGAGAAAAGTGGAACCTTGATTCTGGAACAGATCGCCATTTACGTAGACAATGGTTTATGTAAGAAAACTTTTTTGCTGATATCATTACGATCTTTCTCCACTGCCTAGTGAAAACAACTGATATATACAAAACAAAACAAATCAAACCCATTTTTTATTATGCGTAAATGCATGTATGATTTTGGAGTAAATGATTGTTTTTTGCAAGCTGTTGTTATCGATCATGAGTGGAAATTCAAGAAAAAGTCAGCAAGTTCAAGATATTGTTCAAGTGAAAAACAAAAGTGAAATTATAGAAACATCGAAAAAGTCTACTAGTTTCTTTTACAAATTTTAGATAACAAAAGATGGAAGTAATAAAGAAAACAAAAATAACTTTCATATGAGTCCGAGCTACTTACCACTTTGGCTTCTTGAACAAGGATTCCTTTTGAGAACATGTGGTAGAGGTCTTTCCTCTTTTCAGTAGAATAGATCTCAGAAATTATTTCTTTGTAGTCATGAGGCAATTTAGGTAGTGGCGAATCTAGCTAGGATTCAAACGCACAGGTGTCCACTTGAAAAGATAACAAAATAAATGGTTCAATTTTTTTTGGGCTAACGGTCGGTTTGTCAATAAAATCATCTTCGACATATATATATATATATATATATATATATATATATATATATATATATATATATGTCGAAGATGATTTTATTGACAAACCGACCGTTAGCCCAAAAAAAATTGAACCATTTATATATATATATATATATATATATATATATATATATATATATATCAAAATATTTCAGAAAAAAGAATTATAATCTTCCAGAAAATTATAAAAAAGGCCAAGATTATGCGTCAAAATCCAAAAAACCTTATAAACCAAATTATAAAAAATCTAAGAGAAAATCAAAAGACATTATTATTTGTCATAAATGTGGGCGTAATGGTCATACAGCTAATAATTGTTATGCTAAGACAAAAATAAATGAGTTAAATGTTTCTGATGATTTAAAAGAACAAATAAGAAAAATTATTTTAAATACTGATTCAGATTCCGATCAAAGTATTTCTGATTTTCAAACAAATGATTTAAATATTCTCGAAAATACTACTTCAAGTTCAGAAGATTCTGATGTTTGCGAATGTATTGGTAAATGTCATTGTAAAAATTTAATCAATGTAATTACTAGTAGTTCTATTAACGTTCTTTCACAAGATGATAAAGATCTTTTAAACTCTCTTGATTCTATAAAAGATAAAAATATCCAAGAATTATTAATAAAGCAGATGCTTAATAAAACTAATAACATAACTCCTGATAATAATGAAAATTTTAATTTAAAAAATATATATGAAAGATTTACTGAAGCAAAGCCAATCTCTATGCAAGAACTTCAAGAAGAATTAAAAATAGTAAAACAAGAGATAAAAGAAATAAAAAATAAAATTTTAATTTTAGAAAAAGAAAAACCTTCTATTTTTAAAAACAAAAATATAGAAATTAATAAAGAAGAAGAAAATAAAATTGAAAATGTAACTATTGGAAAATTATAAATAATCAAGTTTCTCAAAAATGGAACACTCAAATTACTTTAGTCAAGGATAATTTTAAAATCAACCTAACTGCTTTAATTGATAGTGGTGCTGATATGAATTGTATTCAAGAAGGAATTTTTCCTACACAATTCTATGAAAAAACTGCATCTAGACTTACTGGTGCCGGAGGTACAAAATTAATTGTAAATTATAAAGTTTCCGATGTTCATATTTGTAATAACCAAGATTACTGTTATAAAACTCATCTAATTTTAGTAAAAGATCTATCTTCCCCTTTAATTCTAGGAACACCTTTTATTACAAAACTATATCCTTTTATGGTTCATGATGATGGTATAAGAACCAATGTTTTTGGAAAAGAAATTATATTTAAATTTTGTGAACCTCCTCTATATTCAACCATTTAATGTCCTTAATTATAAAACACAACAAGCTAAATATCTTATTAACGAAATAAATAATGTTCGAATAACTAATCAATTAAATGACAATAATATTCAAAATAAAATAATAGGTTTAAAATTAAAATTTGAAAAAAATGTCTGTTCTAATATTCCTAATGCCTTTTGGAATAGAAAACAACATATTGTAAAATTACCGTATATAAATAATTTTGATGAAAAGGATATTCCTTCAAAATCTAGAGCCATTCACATGAATAGTGAACTAGAAAGTCATTGTAAAAATGAAATTCAAGATTTAATAAATAAAAAACTTATAAGACATTCTAAATCACCATGGTCTTGTTCAGCATTTTATGTTATGAAATTCAAGATTTAATAAATAAAAAGCAACTTCAAAGATTTTTAGGATGCTTAAATTATATCCATGATTTTTTCAAAGATTTAGGGATTATATGTAAACCACTTTATAACAGATTAAAAGATAATCCTGAACCATGGACTCAAAAACATACAGATATAATTAAATATATAAAACAAAAGGTTCCTACTTTGCCATGTTTAAATTTACCTCATCCAAATGCCAATATCATAGTTGAAACCGATGCTAGTGATATTGGATTCGGAGGAATTCTAAAACAAAAATTTGTTAACTCAAAAGAAGAACAATTGGTTCGATATTACTCTGGTGCATGGAATGATACACAAAAAAATTATTCAACTGTCAAAAAAGAAATTTTAAGCATTGTTTTATGTATTAAAAAATTTGAAGATGATTTATTTATGAAAAGTTTTTTTAAGAATAGATTGTCAATCTGCAAAAACTATTTTAGAAAAGGATGTGAAAAATATTATTTCCAAACAAATTTTTGCTCGATGGCAAGCCCTTTTAGGAAACTTTGATTTCGAAATAGAATTCATAAAAGGCGAAAATAATTCGCTTCCTGACTTTCTTTCTCGAGAATTTTTGCAGGGAAAATGAGTTCATCGTCCTCTTCCAAACATGATGACAAGAAACCCGCCTATCAAAAGCTTGTTCCATTTCAAAATCAAAATCGTTTTTCTCCTTTAACCCCTACTTCTAAGAATTCACAACTTTATTCTAATATCCTTCAATCAAAACTTGTTACTCCAAAAGTTACTTCAACAAACACGATAAGCCCTTTTGTAAGACCTTTTACTCCTCAAACTCAAAATTCTGTGACTCCTAGCCCTCCTACAAAAACTCCTTATGTTCTTAATCCAAATTTCTTAAGAGTTCAAATTCTTGAAGATTTTCAAATCCATAAGTTACATCAAGGTTTTCATATTCTTACAAATCATCTTTTTGGTCAAGGGAAAACCTTTTATATTGATTCATATAAAACTCGAGAATATTATCAAGCTATTTTGCAAGAGTCTGGTTCGGTCAATTTTGTTCATCGTTCTAATTCAAAAGAAGGAAACATTGATTTTAGCAAAGCTCACATCATCAAAATCATTTCTCCAGAAAGTTGGGTTCCAAACCTTCATTCTGAAAAACCTCTTATAAGTTATCCTGCTTATCCCAGATTTTCTTACTATGATTATCAAGATGCCTGGACTAAGGCGTTCTTTATTCGAAATTATTCACACTCATGGTTTATCTTCTTTGATTTAAACTTCAATTGTGAATACCCAAGATGGTTTATCAATTGGTATAAATATATGGGAATTCTTCCAAATTGTTTACCAAAAGAAATTTACGATAGATATCTCAAATTTAAGGAATTGTTTATTCAACAAATTCCAGAATTTGAATATATGCTACAATTCACTATGATATTCAGAGTTCCATGGATAATGTCTTGGACTTTTCATTATCAAGAAGCAAAGGATACCTCTCCTCCCTGGCTTAATCGACAATTTCGCTCAAAATGGTGGGATAAAATGAAGATTTCTCAAGCCAGTGAACAAGCAGTAATTAAATATTATCAAGAAATATATATTCAAAAACCGGAGGTTGAAGCCACTTTTATCAAAAGTCTTCCTCAAAGTGATGTGGATTTAATTTCAAGAATTAAAGATGCTGCTACCTCTTCTCCTGAAGAACTTCAAAACTTACTTCAAGAAATTCGCCAAACTCCATCAGTTTCTGATGATTCTCCAAAATCTATAAAGAATGGTTTATTTCAAGACGCTCAAGACCCTTTTGATGATCCTTATGAAGAATAAGAAATTAAAATTCTTATCATTAAATTTGGTGTAATACCTTCAATGTAGGGTATTTCGTTTCTTCTATTTATCAAATTCATTATTTTCAAATACGAGTGTGTATATACTGTGTGATTATACACTATATGTATTTATAGTGTATAAAACAAAACAAATATTATCAAATTTATTATCAAAATTATTTGTTCTCATCATCAATAATTATATGAAGACAAAAAACTTTACAAGATGCTCTATGATGGATAATATGAAGACAAAAAACTTTAGAAGATGCTCTATGAAGACATGCTTTATCAAAAGGTGATATTTATTGATTACAAACGACAATTTCTTTAAAAGATGAAAGTGACAACCACTTTAAAATAATTGATTGG